AGACATCTCGTCACTCATAGCCTGTCGCCATCCTGGATGAGACAATGCTTCACCTGTAGACTTAGGGATGGAAACCGAGGACAATGAAGATTTAAAAGCATAATGGGGAGATGACAGACGATGATAACTCAAACCAACATAATGAGGATTAGGGTTTAGTGTGGTCCGTATACCTTTTCGAAGTGCAATCGGTGTACTAGGAGCAGGATCCGCAGTAGGAGCCGTGTCAGGTGCAGGACGAGAACCAGATAGGCCTGATGTAGGGCGCGAACGACGATGATAAGTCAAGAGTGGTGTTCCTGTGGCTGGGGAACTAGGAGGGATAACACCGNATTCACGCCGGAAAAATAAAAAAGTGGTCGGAATTTGGTGTAACCTGGATGGGTAGGCTCGGAACTGCAAGGGAAACAATTTGACCTGAAGAGTCGTCGCCAAAAAATGGCCGGAAGGTGACCCACGCAATGTTGGAACTTCGCCGGAAAATTTTCTTTGGACAGCTACAGTACCGCCGGAGATTTTCACTGGGATTTGGTCGCCGGACAGTGACTACTCTTGTGGTAGTGTTGGATTTTGTGCACAACACTGACCGAGACAAAGCAGACGCAAAACAACTTTGAAAGTCGCCGGAAAAAAGGGTTCCGGTGACTGATTTTACTTCCCGGAATCGCTGGAATTTATGCACAGCGATAAATCTCTCACGATAGCTCTGATACCATGTGAGAAGGCACGGGAGAAAATATGATATATATTGATATATATTGTGTGTGATGCAATACAAGAGGTGCTATTTATAGCTACTCTATACAAAGGGGATACTACTCCTATTCCAATGTGGGACAATTACATAGCTATCTCTAACAACATTGTTATAACAGGTGATTATCATGAATGCATTAATCCTCTAAAGCAGCATTTCCTTAAACAAAAGATAAAATACTTCCTAGCCTCCTGCACTGTGGTGACACAATGTAGCAGTGGACTTTTCATTTCACAAAGACATACGGGAAGAACCCGGCATATTGAATTGAAAATCCGTTCCAATTGACCCGAATGTTTAAGACTGTCTCCTGGAAAGGGGGAACCTTCGAAGGTCATTGTCGAAGACTGGTTGGCAAGCTCAATGACCTTATGATCACACGACCAAACATTTCATTTGATGTCAGTGTGGTTAGTATCTCCAAGCTCCGTGCGACTGTCATTGGAATGCAGTAGTTTACATACTAAGTTTTATGAAAGGTTCACTAGGATAAGGTCTATCGTACGAGGATAGAGGACATGCAGACTGAGCGAGATCCCCTTTAGACAATTATGGCCCACTTCAATGTATTATGTCTAATAAGAGGAAAGCTAATATCTTGAAATAGTAAAAATCAAGGTGTAGTAGCCAAATCAAATGCAAAGGCAGATGAACTGCACCTTGATTGCAGTCTAATATCTAATATGGACTTACAAATCATCAAATTAGACGTCAAAGTATAGGCTGATGTCTAAAAGATACCATTTGAATGACCATAAGTGATTAAGTCCAACCGAATAGTTGAATAAACATTGAAACAGTACCTTGTCAATAATAGTACTCAGTAGGGTCACACCAACTGGCCGCATGTTTTCAAACTGAATTGTGCTGATCTGTAAGAAGTGATGAGAGAGAATTAATTTATTCCGCACACTAAAGCTGATTTTAATAGCATTAGTGCAACAAGGTGTTGATTTCGAATTTTAGCACCTGATAAGCAAGTGAAACAAGTTCTTGCAATTGAAGAACCAGCCAGTCTCCAGAAGTTGGTCCACTGCCAGACTGCTTTCTTGCCAACGCTACATCAAAATGGGCTGGATTCTTTCCAACTGCTGCAGGAAGATGACTCAAACACCTAAAAGCCAGAGAAAATTATTCAGATGGATACGTTATATCAGAGACTAACACGTGGAATTTTTTTATATAACAAGCAGAACCATTTCTTGATAAGACAAAGCAATTTGGAGAAAAGATATACACTAATAGATGGGAAAAGATTCTCACAGTGACAAATAATAAAATGAGAAGCAACGAGAAAGAGAAGAATGAGTTGGGACAGCTCATAAAATGGAATTATGAGGGGATTCTGTTTTCATCGTAATTTGGAGAACAGATAAGCTTATGGGTCAGGAGCACATGGTATGCAATCGCATTAGCACACCAATCCAAGATCTTGATACCCTCATGAGTGAATGAGCAGAAACAGTTCCGAAATGCTATTTTGATGAATACTTATTTGGACTGAACACAAGATTGCACCCATATTACTTTGCTACAAGCTTTCCAAGTGACCTTATCAAGAAAAGCTTTCCAAGCTAAGTTTACTGGATTAGTTAACTGCATTAGGGTTGTTGGCCTTTAGCCTCAATTCAGTTGCAGCATAATGCATTCTTCTGTGTGCGTCTTTTTTGGAAGAATAGTATAGTTATACATCCATCTAGACGAGAAATATAGGCCTAAGATAATAACAAGGTACAGCCAAATAACATTTAAATTTGTGCAATCTTCACAAAGGTACAACAAATTTCATTAAAGAGAACACATACAGGTGGGTACAGTGTAAAGACTTAATACTATCTAAATAGCATTTAATAGTGTGAAGTAATGTTGGACACCACAATTGTAGAAGATAGATGCCTGCCATATTCCTTTTGTTTCATTATCTCTGCTTCTTTGGCATTAATGATTTGCTGTCGCTGTTTTTGACATTTCATTATCCTTACATAATTGTTTTATAATTGTCCCTAAAAACTCCGTTGGCTGATTATACGAGTTTGAAGGGTGGGTTGTGGCTAAGAAGGAAGATCAAGATGATGTCAGAGAAAATGCTTACAAATGGCATACAACAGAGGTGCAGTGAGAGGAAATAAAGAGAGGAGCATAAAACCAAAGTCTGTTAGAGGGAGGAATAAGCAAACGTCATGATACACCAGGGAAACAATTGGCTACTTACTCTGCAGCAAAAACTCTTGTTCGATATCTGAGGTGCTTGTTCCTAGGAAGATAAGCAATGGGATGATTGCTTCTATAACCTTGGAAGGTTGGGTTTTGGGAGCTAGACACCATGTTCTCATCGTCATCTCCATAATTAAGTCCAGTTTCACCATCCAGACCACTTGAAGAATCATTCTGTGAACTGTCACTTCTGCTGATCACTCTTGAGGATGACGAAAGAATCTAAACACAATAAACAATTTCAGTGAAGCATTTTTCATCACCGGCATAAAACACTATAAAAACCAAGAAGGGAAACTGCACGCGCCATGTGACACAAGGCAAAAATACTAAACAGGCAAGGTAAAGATTGCCGAGAGCATAAATGCTAGACTCTGGGCTGTGAATTACATGCAGTCATATGATAACTGGTTTAACTTGCTGCATAATCCTTGAATAAGATCATAAATATTTCACGGAGGAGTTTTGAAGAATCTTTTAATCCTGTTCAGTATAGTTTAATTAAAAATAAAGTAAGATATTTTCATTTCATGACTACACTCCTTCAATTTTCAGAATAGCTTATCCCGAAGATGTTGACCAGATTACAAAAATAAGCGGGCAATGTGGATGATAAAATTACCATGTTGCGGCAAATTGATAGCCATCGTGATGGCTGTGATGGACATGATGCATAAAGCAACCGCATAACTGTGGTCCGTGCTAAGCTGCCAATCCTGCAGAATTGGAAGAACTCTAAGTAAGGCACAAAAGTTAGTACACAAATTTGAAAGCATCCAATTACAGGTAGAGGGTAAAACATTAAGATAATTAAAGCAAAAAGAGATAGCAAAAGTAAAGCAAATATAAAGCTATTCAGGTAGATTAATACAGAGCACTCAAACAGGCAAAGCTAGCAACAAAAAGGAAATGCAGCAAACACTTTCCATGGGGGTAAAGAAAGAAGATGCATGGCATTAAAAATTGAGTAGTATAATTCAACCAGCTACTCCCTTAGTCCGAGTATATGATACTATCAATATTTGGGAAGTCAATTATTTGTGTTTGACTACAACTTTCTCAAAAATTACATAAATATTTTAAATTTTTAAAATTGTGGTTTACACATTACTTTGTGTGTAGTTTCTAAACTTGTAAATTTTCTTTCCAAAAAGTGAAGGAACTCAATGTTCAATCACACCAAAAATTACATGGTTGCCTCTCGTATTCCGAACTTGACATTTCTTATGGGCCAGAGGGGGAACATTTACCTTTATACAAGGAACTAAATCAATAAAAATGTCGTTCTTCATGCTTGGGAATGATACAAAACGATGTTAACTATTTCATCTTGTGTCATAAACTAGGAAGTATGATATACCCACATATTTCTTTCCTATAGCAGTTTTCTCCTAAATTACTTCCCTCCCTAGTCAAATGATTCTAGTGCTTAACTTTGCTTTTACTAGTAAAAAGCATTTCATTAATCTCACACCGTTAAGAAAATGGACCTTGGGCCTCCCTCAATCTAAATAGTTAACTCATTTCCAAAAAAGAAAAGGAACGCCAGACGCTAGACCTAAAACTAATAAAGCCAGCCCAAACAAACAGAGAGACCAAATTAGAGAACAATTAAGGGATAAGGGTTAGGACCAGTTTGTGTGGGCATAATAACTTACTCAGCATCAGTTTCCTCATCCAGCATATGGAATAATGTATCTTCAATATTTTCATTCATGATGGACCCCTGCACAACATCAAGCATCCGTTAAAATATAGTGCAAAGCAGACAAATCGGAACTCGGAAACTATGAGTGAATTGAAAATAGATCTCCTGAAATTGCCATTTTATTATTCTTCATAAACTCTTCTCGAGTATATATTACATTTCTCATTTAAAGAGGCTGTTCTTAGCTGTATGATTTTCACATGTTATGTTTTCCAAGTGGAAAGACATATGGGAGCAGTTTTCCTGCCAGTTGAATGTCGAGAACAATGAAAGAAGTCATCAAAAGGATGAAGTCTGGAGTTGATTGCACAAAACAGCCCTGTAGTTTGCAGTCACTTCAGAGTATTCAGAAAAGCCACCNTGTTTCTCACATGGGATATATACTTTAGTTAGGATTAAAAGGATCTGACCCCCATTTGATGTGAAGTTTTGCTCTTCAGGGATTTTCAAGTTTTAGACTATATGAAGAGTATTTTATTGCCTATAATGCCATATTCTAGTTTAACATATATTTGAACAGAACTCGTATCATTAGAGTTTAAGCAATTAACTTGATTCTTGAATATTAGCTCGTCCTAATTAGTATTCGAGCAAGCTCTATATTATACCACAGAGGTTTAATGCATAGAAAGAGCTATTGTTCCGTCTATATCCCTGACAACTGGCAAAACCTAGCCTTAAGGAATCAAAATATCTAACGCACAGGATGGAACATAGGTCACAGTCAAATTACTTACTGGATCCTTTTCAATGAGATGTCTCAGAGTGGATAGAGCTAAACGTCGCAGCGTTGGCTGTTGTAAATGAAATTCAGAAGTTTTAGTACTCACAAGATTAAACAAAAAGGGAGTCACTCCCAGTCCCCTGATCCCCCACCCTCTTTTTCCAAGGGAGAGAAAGCACTACCTGTCTTGCGGATAGAGTTGGGAGCAGTGTTTGCACATTGTAATGCACAGTAACAGCTTGTGGCGCAAAAAGAACTAGCTGCTGAGTGAATCGGACATTCCTTCGAATTAACAAGAAAAATAAGATTAAAATCTGAACACTAAAAAAATTCAACGTGAATATTACAAAGCTAGATGAAGCAGGCATGAGTCAAATGAAGTGCTTTGATGTCCTCGCCAGACCTAAACCACACTGGTCTCAAAACTATTGCTTCTTATTTGGTTAATAGAAAAGGGGGAAAAATATATGAATAACAAGTGGCCATACTCATAAAGTGTTGCAGTCTCTTGCCGGGAGCTGACCTCTGCAATGACAGACTGAAGAAAAACACAAGATTAAATTGAAACTGGATAAATTAAGGTTAGACAAATCTAGTAAGCAATAAAAGAAATGGTGCTACTGAAGTCAAAAGCCACCTCAATATATTGGAAGACGTATATACTAAACACATACCAGTGAAGAAGATTATTCACTGCATGCATTACCCCATGCAAATATTTTATATCTTTTAGATAACTTTGTACGGATAATTGAATATCATACATTGATAGTGAACAGTGACAAGACGACACGGTTTATAATTCCTTGTGGTCAAAAATAAATTAAAGATCTTCAAATATGGTAAAAAAATTCATGCTAATAGGTCGTTTTGTTTAGTCCTCCAACTTTTAGTAGATTTTTGCGTCTCATTATCTCAATTCCTATACTAGGATTATTTGGCAGAAACCCCATAACATTTTATACGCTAAACTTTACAATAAATAGTTCTAGGACAAATAAGGCTATCAAGGAAGTTGTTCCATTTTTTTTAATGTATTTATCTCTTGATAAGAGCATCGCACTACTTTTTACCAGAGAAATTCCTCGGACCAGAGGATATCAACTTTTAGTGCATACTTTGTTATTTATCTAATGATGCCATAGCTCTATTGCCAGCACTTTACCTGCCCACTTTGATCAGGGATGACATGGATATCTTTAAAATACAATAAAACCTACAGACTACACATACCCGTTATATCCCTCACCAAATTTGACACTCCTACTTGAGCTCATGAAACAAAGTAACATAAAAATGCTGTAATCACATATAGGTTCCTGTGTATTGATATTTAATAATTAAAAAGTATCTAATTAAAAATTCATCCATCTTTTTCAGCAAAAATGATATTCAGGTGTATTTCATTTATACCTATGAGAAGGCACGGGAGAAAATATGATATATTGATATTGTGTGTTTAATACAATACAAGAGGTCCTTATTTATAGCTATACTATACAAGGACATACTACTCCTATTCCAATGTGGGACAAGACTACATTATGTACATATCTAACACTCCCCCTCAAACCGGTGCATACACATCATATGTACCGAGCTTGTTACACATGTAACTAATACGAGAACCAGTAAGAGACTAAGTGAAAATATCTGCTAGTTGATCATTCGACTTTACAAACTTTGTAACAATATCTCCTAAAAGTATTTTTTCTCTGACAAAGTGACAGTCGATCTCTCCGAACTTTAACTTCTTGAGCAACTGCTTGACCCAAACTAACTCACACGTTGCCATAACCATGGCCCGATATTCCGCTTCGGCGCTAGATCGAGCAACTACATTTTGTTTCTTGCTCTTCCACGAGACCAAATTACCTCCTACTAAAACACAATATCCAGATGTAGATCGTCTATCAGAAGGTGATCCTGCCCAATCAACATCTGTGTACCCAACAACCTGCTCGTCGCCTCGATCCTCGAATAGTAATCCTTTGCCTGGAGCTGACTTTATATACCGAAGAATACGAACAACTGCATCCCAGTGACTATCACAGGGGGAATCCATAAACTGATTTACAACACTCACCGGAAAAGAAATGTCAGGTCTAGTCACTGTGAGGTAATTCAATTTTCCAACCAACCTCCTATATCTCGTAGGGTCTCCAAGAGGCTCCCCTATCCGGGCAGAAGCTTAGCATTCGGATCCCTATGAGAGTCAATAGGTCTGCAACCCATCATTCCACTCTCCTCAAGAATGTCTAAGGCACACTTCCGCTGTGAAATAACAATACCTGAGCTAGACTGAGCGACCTCAATACCTAAAAAATACTTCAGTCTGCCCAGATCCTTAGTGTGGAAGTGCTGAAAGAGATGTTGCTTCAGATTAGTAATACCATCCCGATCGTTGCCAGTAATAACAATATCATCAACATAAACCACCAGATAAATACACAGATTCGGAGTAGAATGATGATAAAACATAGAGTGATCAGCCTCACTACGAGTCATGCCGAACTCCTGAATAATTGTGCTGAACTTACCAAACCAGGCTCGAGGGGACTGTTTCAAACCATATAGTGACTTGCGCAATCTGCATACACAACCACTAAACTCCCCCTGAGCAACAAAACCAGGTGGTTGCTCCATATAAACTTCCTCGTCAAGATCACCGTGGAGAAAAGTATTCTTAATGTCTAACTAATAAAGAGGCCAATGACGTACAACAGCCATGGACAAAAAAAAGACGAACAAATGCTACTTTAGCCACAGGAGAGAAAGTATCACTATAATCAAGCCCAAAAATCTGAGTAGATCCTTTTGCAACAAGATGAGCCTTAAGCCGATCAACCTGGCCATCTGGGCCGACTTTGACTGCATAAACCCAACGACAACCAACAGTAGACTTCCCTGCAGGACGGGGAACAAGCTCCCAAGTGCAACTCGCATGTAAAGCAGACATCTCGTCAATCATAGCCTGTTGCCATCCAGGATGAGATAGTGCCTCACCTGTAGACTTAGGAATAGACACAGTGGACAAAGAAGATATAAAAGCATAATGAGGTGACGACAGACAATGATAACTTAGACCAACATAGCNAAGAAATTCAAAATAATCCACTAAAGAAACCATCCGACTATTCGAAGTATCGGTTCCCATGTCGCTACAATAAATAGTAGTAGGGTTAACTTGAAATAGTGAAAATTAGTAACTCCTTTGGGAAAACTGAAGAAATCGCTGAGAAAACACTGTTTACAACAGGAAAACAGAACACTGTTCTGCGCCGGAAAACACTGTTCACGCCAGAAATACTGTAGCTCTCGGAATATTACTGTAGCAGCCGGAAAAATTCAAAATGGTCAGAATGAAATAAAAACAGTAGGGGTAGGATCGGAATTACCAGACGACCCAACTGTTTTGAAGAAACTTTTTCAAAAAATGGCCGGAAGTCCACTTATGAAATCACTGTTCACGCCGAAAAAATATAAAAGTGGTCGGAATTTGGTGTAACCTGGATGGGTAGGCTCGGAATTGCAAGGGGAACAATCTGTCTTGAAGAATCGTCGCCAAAAAATGGCCGCAAGGTGGCCCACGCAACGTCAGAACTTCGCCGGAAAATGTTCTTCCGACCGCTACACTACCGCCGGAGATTTTCACTGGGGTTTGGTCGCCGGACAGTGACTACTCTTGTGGTAGTGTTGGATTTTGCACAACACTAACCGAGACAAAGCAGACGCAAAACAACTTTGAAAAGTCACCGGAAAAAAAGGGTTCTTCTGACTCATTTCACTTTCCGGAATCGCTGGAATTTATGCACAACGATAAATCTCTCACGATAGCTCTGATGTCATGTGAGAAGGCGGAGAAAATATGATATATTGATATTGTGTGTTCAATACAATACAAGAGGTCCTTATTTATAGCTATACTATACAAAGACATACTACTCCTATTCCAATGTGGGGCAAGACTACATTATGTACATATCTAACAATACTTATAAATTTATCTAACCAGAAAATTGCTAAAAGATAAATGTTTTGAGATGACACAGACAATCTCAAAGTCGACATTTTGATGGCTATAAATCATCTCATTAAGGGTAAAATGAAAATTTAAAGTTAAAATGTTTCTAAATCAGGAAGTATGACATTCTTTTTGGGACATACTAAAAACGAAAGTATGACATATAAATTGTGAGAGAGAGAGAATAGTACATTACATATCCGATATTTGCCTCAGTTAAACTTGACTACATATAGAGAAACGTCAATAAACACGATGAGTTTAATGAATGTTTAAGAGACACTTGACATACACTTGTAACCCATACGCGATCTTTCATTCATCAATACAACGTTACTTGGTTGCACATATAACACTTGCCATAAAAAGGTGGTAAGCAAATGGCATACACGTTTCTCAATTTTTAAAACTAAATACTCTCAGCAAGGTCACTTTACTAAAACTAGCTTTCTAACATATCCATGTGAGCTTGGGGGAGTTCTTGCACTTTTGTTGTCTTTATGTTATGATGGCTTCTTTTAATACGGATCAAAAATACAGATTTAAGCTTCTTAAAGATTGAATTGACAAACCTTGCAACGCGAGAAAAATATACTGCCAGGAGAAAGTTCAGGACCAAGGACAGCAACAATAGCATTTATAAGGCGTCCCACTGCCTGCTGCAGGTTAGTCGAACCAATCTCATTTGACAACAGAATATCCATGGCAAGGCTAAGTGTCGCCTGAAAGTAAAAGAAGATAGGAAACTTTAGACTTAAACGAAGAGTTGAATTAGAACCTAGAGGCGCCAAATAAAAAAAAAATGATAAATCGCCTTTCTTGTTCAACATATCAGAAGGGTAACCTCTTGAAGCAATGTGAACATAAAATGGCAACAAAAAAAAAAGTTTACAAAATATCAGGTGGGGAAGCTTTTAAGGCCTAACGATTCAAGAAATTTGCTTAATCAACAATTTATCGCGATCAGGCTTCAATGCGAAGAGCAATCAGGAAGGACAATCACCCACTTACAAAACACAAGATGACACAAACACCAAATGCTCTGGAGAACATATCCATAAAATAGTAGAGTGAACTTAGATGCGTTTCTGAACGAAGGTAGCCAAGTAAATCTTAACGATTTATTAGCAAAGCACATTTTGTTGTTAGCCAATGGTCTCTTCTTCAAAACTGAATATCTTGACTTTTTCCACTAGATCCAACCAAATATGTTATCTGAGCATGATAATTAGTTTCTTGATAAGTAATATGCTCAAGAATGAGCCATAAACAGCTGGCTGAAGTTTGAGAGTTTCTATCATTTATCATCTAATTCAAGAGATACTTTTGACCTCCGATAAACCAGAAGATGGTTAAACCCATCCTCTTCTTATCAAACACTTCCTATTTGAAAAGAATATCTTAAATTTGGTCAGCATGAGTAGATTCTACAAGATGTGATAAGAGAAACAGACAACTAAATCAAATGTTAGCCATGACAACCGAAGAATGTGATAAGAAAAACACGCACTAAATCAAATGTTAGCCATGATAATCAAAGAATGTGGATAACTGATGCTCTCAGAGACACTGAAGCATCATACTCAGAATATATGGATACCTGAACATGAGAAACATAGGACAATCCAGCAGCCTCCACAGTCAACAGTAGACCATGCAAAGACCAAATTTGTAAGGCAGTGTTTGAACTTTTAGCCAAAGAAGAAAGAGAATTAACAGTAGCAGGAACCAAACTTGACAATGCAATCCCTCCTGCGCTGCAAGAAGGATTAACAGAATGAGGACTGCAGATAACAAACAAACTACAATTCAAACAGCATACTCAGACAAACCTCTTAGTGCAGAAAGATAACTATCTCGGTTTCATAAATAAATTTATATAGAATCTTTGGAGAAGACTTTCTTTCATAAGAAAGAAAGTACTTACTATCTTTGGGATCTGATCCTACACATTTACTCAAGACTTTAGTGGATCGATTCAATTACATAAGCTACTTCCTAAGTATTTGCTCAAATCATGAGATAAGTATTTCTTCCATCATGACATAAGTAAACTTTTTTTTATTGTGTCAGCTCAAAACCTCACTAATTGATCGGTGCTTACAAATTTTAGCTCCAAAATGCATTATAATTAGACAATCAGCTATTTTCATTAAACCTTTATTTACCTTAAATACTGCTTTGCACTTCAATTTGACAAGCTGCTCATGGACAAGCAGAATTGGTGCATTTAAAGTTGAAACACATCGACATAATTACCAATACCAAAGATCTCTTCATTGGAGGGAAGGGGAGAAAGAAAGTAACTAATAGCACCACCAGATTGGTCAAAGGTTGCGGAAGAAATTTTCATGTAAGAAAGAGTCGAGAGCGACAAGCACTGTCATATAAAAGGAATTCATGTATGTATTTAGTGAAATGATAAAGGTACACACTAAGTTTGCACCATTCAAGCTTACCAGCGATGAATACAACCAAGTGATATAGCAACTGAACCAGCATAGTTTGAATCTACCGCTGAATTTATATCACCAAGGAGCACTCTTGTCTGCAATGACACGTACCAGTTAAAATGACAACGGAACATGGGTAATTGAGATTCTTACGGATTCAAAGACACTAATTGTCCTAGAACCAGAAGGTTGTGAAAAGATTCAAATGGAACTAACCAATCTGGCAGTGAACACATCATTTCCTAGCCGAGCTAATAGGCCAAGACCTTCAGATGATGCTCTGCGTTGAGAAGCACAGATGTCACCCTCAGCCAGAATGCTCTGTCAAGGTAAACACCAAAAGCTAAGAAAGACTGCAAAGGACAAGAAAGGCAAGGGCACTAAAATATCAACAAAAAGATAGTGAAAACCTGAAAGATGGATTGTGCCAGACTAAGTACTTCCAATGGTAAGGGTTCAGGACGTAGAGCAAGCAAAGCCTGTGATGAAGGCAAGCACAAGAGAAGCAGATGTAAGACATGTAAAATTCCCGACAAGTGCATGAAAAGTCTAAATTATTAGATCACCTTCAAGCCAGATAGCAGGCCCACACATATGTTTGTAACACTGGTTGCATGCCATGCTTGTTTCTTTCCAGCTCTCAGACACTGCTCAACCATTTCGAGGAGTGAGAGCATTCCACCAATATCCTGAGGGGAACAATGACAAACTAAGTTGCAAGCTATCAATGCCTCCATATATGCACATAATTCTAACACAAAGCCAAGCCATCAACCATATTCACTTACCTCGGAAGCAAATATGTCGCCAAAGCAGAGGAGCTTCTGATTCACTAACATTTTGCTTATAGTCTCCGGCTTCATGATCAGAAACATGTATTATTAACGGATATCAAACAAGGGGAAAAATTTGAATCCTCTTCATGGCTTCTGAAGTTATATGACGTCAAGCAAATTATATTTCTTTCATAGAAAGTCAACCTCTTCAGCGAAAGTTTACCTGAGGAAAGCTCGGAAGCTGGTTATCCCATACAGATGGTACTAGACCATCTTTTCCACCTTGAAATGAGCGAAGTTCATCCTCAAACAAATCCCTGGATGAACAATCAACAAGATAAATGACTAATTTCTATATTGGGTTATAAGTACCAAGTTAAAAGGAGACAACAGTTGGTAATGATGTGCACATCATTAACCATAGCCAAGTCCATGATTGAAAAAACAAAGTTACTCCCCAGGAAATTGCAAATAATCCACAGAAAGAAAGGAACAAGCTCCATGATTTTGGTGCTAAGTACCTGCCAGGGTTCCAAGGGCCAAGCCAAGCATCTCTTTTGTCTAACAGCATCCTCAAGCATGAACTTTCCTCACATTTTGAAGCTTCCCTGTCCCGAAAAAGAAAAAATAAGAATGACATCGCTCTTCCAAAAACGAAAAGAAAAAGAGGTGCCCTTGTAGAAAAAGAAAAGGAACGACTCTTGCCAGGGAAACACATATCTACGTCATAGCTGATGAGCTGGATCAAACATTCACCTATAAGGAGTTGCACATATCTGAATAAGACGGGCATGGTCTCTCCGATATGCAGTTGGATCTGAAATTGACTGATAGGCTATTAGTGTCTTGATGATAAATATCTCCGCTGCCTGTTTGACACTCATTTGGTCTTTGGCTGCCAACAGCAATATATATGACAGAGCCCTGTATTAACAATTTTCACAAACATAAGCAACATAAGAGAGCTCCATCAGACTTTCACAGAAAACGTACATAAGAAGATACTTCTTTCACATGTATATACCTACTAAGGTATAACAGAACTGGTTCAAGCAAGATCCCCTTGTTCACAGCACCAGAAGAGATAAAACTCTTTATAAATGCTGTCAATGCATCCACTGCAGCACACCATACGCTACAAATAAAATGAAAAGAGCTTCACAAAGTTATATATAGTCGCAAACTTCAGAAACCACATTAAAAGTTTTAGGAAACAAAATTGTACAGCAACACAAAGAGCACAAGATAATATTTAGAGACATTTGCTTGAAGGCCCTTATAAAGTACAGAATGCTGCAATGAAACAAAAAAAGCTGCTGAGTATAGAAATTATACTGATCATGCCAGCACGTGGGCTATTTTATTGATCGGTGAATGTGAAAGTCCGATTCAAGACCTTTATCAACTCGGATATACCATGTTCAATTATGTAAAACACATCATCCAAAAGTATAACTGGTTAACTAGGGAATACTTAATTATTATTTATTTAGGTTTGCGAAAGCAGATATTATATTTGTTGTTTTTCTTAAAAGCAAGAGGATTCTTATCTGATGAAATTTGCTCTTTTTGCCTATGTTGTCCCTCAATAAAATAGAATGAGAAAAGGGAAGCCCGGCATTCACGCAGGGTCTAGGGAATGGCCGCACCCCAAGGGAATCTGATGTAGGCACCTACACTGATGCAAGCATCAGTGGCTAATTCCACAGCTCGAACCCATGCCCTATAGGTCACACAGAGACAACTTTACCATTGGTCCAAGGCTCCCCTTTGTCCCTCAGTAAAATAGAATAGTTGTATAATTTTCGAGAATTTCCTTTTGCAAATAACATTTTGTAACTCGAAAGAACAGGAAAAATTAATAGATGTGGAATGATTTGTCAAAGTGAGAACTTTTCATCCTAAAATAAGTAATAATCTAAAAACCCATCAAATTGGACAAAACCTAAACATGCATACTTTCATCTGACTTGCTTACAAAATTCAGATTACTTTGATGCTATTCAAGTTACATTCTTTTCAATCAGTGTGGTCCTTGCATCGGAATAAGTATTTGGTAGATTCTTCCACTGTATCGCCAATGCAAATAGGAGGAACAACTTCATAAGAAGGAATTATTCAGCATTACCATCCCTCTACGAGAAAAATGAGGAATGGAAACCCAACTTTAAGGGCAGCACATTTCAGAAAATCAGCCAGAAAGAGAGGAATGCGCTTGACTAGTCTTTCGAGGAGGATGAAGTGAGCAAGCAGAGAATACCATACAGGGACAAGTCACCGGCCTGTTAACAGCTTCAGTTCTGCCTTTTTCCATCATTGCTGGGTGGTGGTGATGAAAGATGTTAGGGAACGTTTGGAGTATTTTTACGATACTTGCTCTTTTGAGAAGAGCTTTCACTCATTAATTGTTTAATCCTGAAGAAGGGGGACTAGCCTACTAGGAAAAATTACCACCAAAAGTACTTGTAAACAGATTAAAGGCGTCATGGACAAACTCATCTTGACACCAGAAAATACATTTGTGGGAAGGAGACAGATTTGATAAGCTACTCTGATTGCAAATGAGCCAGTAGATTCCAGATCAAGGAGCAAACTTCAGGAAGTTAGGTGCAAGCTGGACACCGAAAAGGAATATGTATGTCAAGTGGAATTTCCGGCTATACCTTTTGGCTTTTATAGAATGAAATGCTGGACAAGTCGAGGAGATGAATTCACTAATATATCTCTAAATTAAGTTCTCCATATAGTGAATAGCACTCCACTTGGGTTCTTTGCCAGTGGCAGGGGCCTAAGAAAAAGAGCCTGTTATCTTCGATAATGTTCTTAATGGTGATGAAAGCATTAAGCAAGCTATTCGAGCAAACCATCCGGGGAGGATAGTTTGCAGGTTTAAGATAGGGGGTTCGTCAAGTAAGAAGGTGTATCACATCTCTTGTTTGGAGACTTACATGTTGACCATATGTGACCCAAGTGAAACAGATTCACGCATTTTCAGGACTTTGATCTGGCTTGAAAAATGTCTGGCCTCCAGCTGGCTCCAGATGAAGATGAGGAAGTCAGAGCTCTTACCGGTTGGAGAGGTGAACATCAATGCATCAGCAGTGAGAGGGTTGTAAGATTTGTAAATTACCTACATAATAACTGATTTTCAGGACTTTGATCTGGCTTGAGAAATGTCTGGCCTCCAGATGAAGATGAGGAACTCAGAGCTCTTACCGGTTGGAGACATGAACACCAATGCATTGGCAAGTGAGTGGGTTGGAAGTTTTTTAAATTACCTACAAGATACCTGAGTCTTCGCACTAGGAGGAAATACAAGGAAGTGGAACTCTAGGAACCGGGGATGCAAATATTTGAAGAGTAGATTAGAGGGGTGGAAGAGACGGTCTCTCTCAAAAAGGGAAAGGAAGTCACTTTTATAAAGGCAACGCTTTCAAGCATTCTCATACTGAAGAAACTAATGAGAAGTAACCTATGGGATAATGCAAATGCAAGAAAAGAAAATTTTCCACGGGAACTGGAATAGGACAACACCTATTGAGCTTGGGGGCCTAGATATATACAGAGACCTGAGATCTTTCACCGGGTTTGAGGGGAATGGCTTCGAATATATGCAATGGAGGAGAAGCTGTTAGGAGGAATGTGATTACAAGAAAATATGGTGATGATCAATTTGGTTCACTAGGATGTAGAATTACCATATTACCATATTACGCGTTGAAAGATGACTTTCCCTGCTTGTTCTAATTGGTGACAAACAAGAGAAGGGCAAGGCTCGAAGCCCGGAAGGAAACAAACTTCGTGAGACATCTCCTTTAGAAGATATCGGTAGAACTGGGAGTTTTATGAGGTAGAATCATTCCTATTGAGTCTATACAACTTTACATACTTTCGCGGAATAGATAATATCATTTGGAAAGGTTCTTCACAAAATAATTCTCAATCAAGTCCTGTAAAAGATACTTATTCAGGGGCGGAGAACCGAGCCCTACATAGAAGGCTGTATGGAGTTACAGATTGCAGGCACTGGCTAGTGCAACAGAAAAAGTAGAAAGAACCCAGATGAATTTCCTAAGGATGCTGCAGATTGTATCAGAAAGTTTACACAGTGAGTAAGAGGGGTCATCCCGTCTCCAAAAAGAAGGTGGTGTTTCAGGAGGGAAAGACCTTAGAGTGTTCAACAAAGTTTTGCTATAGAAATAGCTATGGAAGTTAAGAGTTGAGGAGCAGGCTCTATGGAGTGGTAACAGAAAAGTATGGCACAATCGATGGCTGTTAGAGGATTAGAATTTCTTACTATCGTTTGAGTGCGGGCTATAGAGGAGCATTATGAAGGACTGTGAAGACTTCCATAATGCATTCAGGGGGGATGGCAGAAGGATTAACTTTTGCAACCACAAATGGTGAGGTGAAAACATGTCGAAACTTGTTTTCCCTAAAATATGCAGAGTATAAACCCAGAGAGTGATAACAGTCCAATAGATACATAGGGTGCAAGAGAGGGGAGATACTTTGGGATCTGAAGTTTAGAAGGAATCTGAGGACTAAGACATGGTCGCTTTCCAAGACTTGGTGGAGTTACTCTAAAAGCAGAGAATACTACTTCTGCACAAGATTCGTGGAGGTGGGGAAAGAGGAGAGATGGGTTGTTCACAGTTAAATCATACTAGAAATTGTTGCTGACGGAGTAGATGGTTTTCTGTACTTACAGGTATGGATCCATACGCCGCCAGAAAAGGTGTAATTTTTTGGTCGGCAGCAAGCGATAGGGATAGAGGAGAGAGTAAGAAGAAGTAACATAGAGGGGCAGCACTTTTAGCTTTTTGGTATGTCCCAACAGAGCATGACAATAAATTTCTCATAATGATCGTATCCATCTTATGTGGTTTACAGTTGTGATACTGGCTTATCCAAAATGTAGGTAGGTGATCTACGCTGACTAAAATGATATTGAACAGCAGGTACGCAGACAAGGTCACCATGTCATTACCAATATCTAATTTTCCTAAAATCCTACCAAACGACAAATAAAAACATTAATAGCTGTGTAGAATTTAACATATCTAACCAGGCATATTTAATTTTTCCTCAAATCATAATAAATAATTTTCTATAAATTTAACATATCTAACCAGGCATATTTAATTTTTCCTCAAATCATAATAAATAATTTTCTATAAATTTAACATATCTAACCAGGCATATTTAATTTTTCCTCAAATCATAATAAATAATTTTCTATAAATTTAACATATCTAACCTTATGTTAGATTGGAGATCTTCTGTTTCACTGATATGTCGTTCTGGATTTCCATGGAATGCGGAAGCCCATAAAGAAAGAATATCAAAAACTTGATCCTCAAGTTCCTGCATCTCCAATGAAATAGCACCATGAAAAACAAAAGTGAAGAAATTATATCTACAAAACCACTTACTGTACCTCTTTTGGCATGCATGCAAGCAGTGAGGATAAGAGCATCCATCCAGCCTCCTTTTCAACGGAGGCTGCCATAGGATTCCGACTTGATTCCATTATCATTTTCTTAGACAGTTCAACTACTGATCTGGGTAAACTGCATAAGGTCCCCAAGATAAAAATAAGAAAAAGATAAAGAAAAGCATGAGGACATGAATAAAAGAATACATGATACTGCTAACAACCATAAAAAATGCCTTCGACTGGAAAGAAAAGGAGGCTGAGATAATAGCTCTAGCAACAGAGATGATAATAAAATCAAGGAAAAGAACTATAGAATCCTGTCAAACTGTTTTCAGACTTCTTTTTTTTTTATGGGTAAATCTGTTTTCAGATATTATCTTTGAGTCATGTTACTTCTGATGCCTAACACCAGAAGGACAGAAACAGGTTACCCGTAGAGAAACAGATTTCAGAAAGAAAAATGCAGCAAAGAAAATAATCAAAGAGGAAATATATAGCATATTAACATTGTGACGCGAGACAACCATGAAAATGATATAACTGCACCAAACCAGTATCATCCCCTCATGGAGTGGGGGTATGGAAAACAATCAGGGGGCACTGGGACTTCATTGCTGACCACTCTAGTTTCAAGGTTGGAAATGGAAGAAGAGTACTCTTCTGGTGTGACACATGGTTTGGGCACACTCCTATGAAAGACCAATTTCCAGAATTGTATAGCAATGCTGCGAATCCAAGAATTTCAGTAGCAGATGCAAAATTCACACATGGGTGGAACATTGTTTTCAGAAGGAACTTAAATGACTGGGAGTTGCAAAGTGTGGCAGATTTCTGGGAGACCTTAGAAGCTTTCCAAGGTCTCACAGAAGAGGAAGGTGCTTTAATTTGGAAGGGTCACAAATCAGGTTCCTTTTCAGTGAAATCTGCTTATCATTTCATTAACAATACTCCTAATCCTGCGCAAGGATGGCCATGGAAACAAATTTGGAGGGTCTGGGCGCCTACAAAAGTCCAATGCTTCACATGGTTAGTAGCAAGTGAAGCTGTTCTAACTCAGGATAACCTTCTTAAGAGAGGAATCCAGCTACATGCTAGATGCAGTCTTTGTGGCAAAGATGGGGAATCAGTTTCCCACCTCTTTATTCACTGTCCGGTCACTACTCAACTTTGGCACTTCTATCTTAATTTGGCTGGTATATCCTGGATAATGCCCAATAACACTGCAGCTCTTCTCAGTAGCTGGAACAATGGAGGGGTAAATATTAAACAGAAGAAATGGTGGAAAATTGTTCCTGCTTGTATCTGTTGGATCATATGGAAGGAAAGGAATGCCATAGTTTTTGAAGATAGACCTAGCTCTTACCAGAAAATTAAGCTTAATTGTTTTTTGTTATTTCATATTTGGTGCAAAGAGAGCTATAGGGAGGATGTACATTCTTTACTAGATTTGCTAGAAGAAATGTAATCGAATAGAATAAGCTTGGCAGTTCTCTGATCCTTTGGGGTCGGATTGTGGTCTACACAATCTCTTGTAAATATTTTTACTCGTTTATATAATTGTTACCATTATAAAAAATAAAAAATAAAAAAGAATCAGCATAGAAGGTGGACAAATATTTAATCTTCTCTGTTTTTAAGTGATTTAAAGCTTTCTAGGAGTTAGAGAAAAACAAAATTTTCCGAGGCGCTTATAAATCGGATGCTCGTACTACAAGGACAAGACTAAGGTAGATATGATAATAAGTAAGAAATAAAAGGCAAAACGTGCAGAGATTTTGCAAACTGAAGAAATATGAATAACTAAAACTAATTAATAGTCATCACAAGCAATGAACTTTAGATGGTTATGCATTCTTTTGGGGAGAAAGAAAAGGTTACACATAAATGGAGAAAGCCATTACCGAGATGGATAACCAAGAGGTAAGCTGGGTGAAATAGACACCAAAGCTGCCAAAACCGCAGCCTGACCATCTAGACATTCCAGTTCATACTTTAAATTAGTTCCCTGTAAATCAAACAGAAAATGAAATCATTAAACTGATTCCTCCCTGTAAATAGGACATGATACACATCTGGGCTTTCAGAAGGAGGAGGAGAAACTGCCGGGCATGGGACATATCTCCTTTGACCATTATGTGGATACTATGGAGAGAGAGGAATGGGAGAGCTTTTGAAGTGGCGGAAAATGAATTAATACAGCTGATGACCTGTTTTGTTTTTTGGTGAACTTTTATGCACCCACAAGGTTCTCATTAGTGTAGATGATTGGATATCATTTTTTCCTAAGCATATTTTCTTAGTTCCTCTACTTCTTGTATACTGGACTGCCTCGTATAGCAATAAAACTATAACTTTATCCCCAAAAATGCAAAACCAAAGGAGAGATGATGATGATAAATGAATCCCTAGAAAAAAGAAATTTTCTACCATTCTTCCAGAGAAGCAGCCAAACCCCTTCTTTAATTGGATAAATCATCTGGATTCTGAGCAGTCTAATCTTTTTTATTTTAGGCAAGTGAAGAATTCCATCAACTTCGCCTAGCCATAGGAGAAAATCTAATTAACCAGAAGATGAGAAAGATTGTAAGATCAGAGACAAAGACTCCTCAATGACACAATCAAACAAAAAGTAAGATCTTACTTCCTGATCTCATGGTATGCTTTAGCATGTTTATCAGTGAGCAGGGGAAGAGCCTTTAGGCAAAAAGATAGTACACCCAAAAACACCCCAAAAGAGGGTAGCCTGAATCTTACTACAGTCATCTCAAACAATCTTTTCTGATAAGGTTAGACCACATACGGTAGACTGGGATTTGAACTCGTGAACAGTGCCTCAATTTGAATACCTTGGACCACTGGACTGACTCAGTCAACTACTTCTCAAACAATCTCCCAAGTGAGGCGAGCAGATCCAAAACTTTTACCTCTTTAATATAACTAAAATCACACTTCACACCCAAAAAAACAATGGAAAAAGTGGCAATAACTGACAACCGTTTCAAAATTCAATTCAGTAGCTCAACCGATTTCAGAGTTCAAATATATATTTTATTTCTTTTTATCAGTATTTCAGAGCTCTAATGTTGACATCAGATATCTCCATGGCATTATGTTGCAACTCCAAACAGCAAATGGTTGAACTGCATGCCGAAAAGTCTAGTCAATCCCCAAATACATGGAAGTTTATTATCAAAATATTTTGTTACTAGCCTACAACAGCAAAGACGAGAACCATGTCTGGATGGAATCTTAAGGGTCCATAGCTTATGATGGAAAGAGAAGGAAATGATTCGAAAGAATAAGCCAGTATATCAGACAGAGAGATGTCTTAACTTTCTTATTAATTTCTCCCATTTCCTCCTCAAACCTCCAACCCAATGATCCAGACAGAGAACTATCACCTAGTCCTTATAATTAAGTAAGAAGATACCACAAGCAATGAAAAGAATCAATTCCTGCATAGGAAATTGAATATGTAAGAACAAAGCAATACGCTGTAGAAATGATAACACGAAAACCAATAAGTAGGCACCACAAACAACCAAAACTCATAAAGGCTCGGTAACACTTCTAATAAACGTCATGACTAATACAACTCTATGATAATGGGAACAAAACAACATAGAGGGAATGGGAAATAATTCTTAAAGAAAAAGGACACTTCTTTAGTAATGGTCAGTCAGCACCCAGCAGACACCTAAGCCAGTAAGCCACTTGTAACTTTAACATTTCTATGACGTGGAAGGATTATATCATTGCTTCGTAGTTGGAAATTTGACTTCTCTGTTTATTTCATTTTTCTTTTCCAAAAGTCCAATGAATAAGCAGATAATACCATAATACCAGGAGAAAATAACTGAAAACCTTTAAGACTTGGAGCATGTCTTCGATTTTTATTTTTTTGTTGTTTAATTGCCACTCTCACTCCATTTTAAGTCGTAGCAAGTCTTGAAAAACCAACTCTGAAGAATCTACTTCAATGGAATATGTTGGAATGAAATGGTTCCAAATAGATAGGAATGAATATAGAGGATTCATATAGCCAACAACAACTAGTTCAGATTGAGACATAGTCAATTGATATATTGGATAAATACCTTACTGGTGGTGGTTTTTGTTTCCACCATTCCCTTATTTTAAAATATTGAGATCCCCAAGCTGTAATTGGACTGCATTGACAGAGCGCAATTCAAGAGCTTCCAAGGGCAAAGAGAACATGATTTCAGGATCAAATATAATTTGTGTTCTGTTTCTTTTTTGTAGCACACAAGAAATTGACTTGTATAGCTGATTGGGTAGGCTACTCAAGCCAGTAAGATTTTTTTGGTTTTTTTACACCTCTCGTACAGGGGGAAACCTTTCTTTAAATCAATTAATTAGAAGAAGGATGACGTTATTTCTCAAAGTAGTAACCCAGTAATACATAGCCCACGTCTAAAGTACAGGTATGCCTACAGATCTGAAGGCTAAAATACTGCAAAAAGATATACAACAGCAAAAGAAAGTGTTGTCAATCCTTGAAGACAAGGAAAAGATAACAGTATCCTGCCAAAAAGCTGAAAGGACATAGTGAGTTTGCCAGAGAAGAAAAACCAACTCAATAGAAACACATCTTTCGGGTGTGGCATGTGGAGGAACATCATGAAGAATTGGGAAGCATCCAGTGGCAACATCACTTATAGGGTAGGAGATGAGAGGAGAATCAGCTTTTGGAATCATAGGTAGTGTGGAGAGCATACTCTGAGGGTCTCCTTCCCTCATGTCTTCAGAGTTTCAAACCAGTAGGAATTGATGGTCCAACAGATTCGTAAGGAGCATGGAGGGGGTAGTATGGGACCTCTCATTTAGAAGGAACATGCAAGATTGGAAGATTGCGGAGCTCCAAGATTTGTTGACACTGCTATATGGGCAAGACAGGCCCCGGCCATCTTGTGATTCTTGGAGATGGGGTTTGCTTGGCGATGGTTTGTTTACTGTAAAGTCCTTTTACCAGATTATGTTGGTGAGAGAGGAGGTCACTTTTCCATACTCCGCGATCTGGATTCCTAAGGCGCTCACGAAGGTGTGCTTTTTTGCATGGCTAGCGGCGAGGGAGTGATCTTGACTGTTGAAAATCTTCGAAAGAGAGAAATTACACTTGTTAGTTGGTGCTACATGTGTAAAAGCTCAGAGGAAGAAGTTGATAATCTTTTGTTGCATTGCCCTGTGTCCTCGGCTTTGTGGAGGGCAATCCTGAATCTTTTTGGTGTTCAATGGGTGAAGCCAAGCACTGTAAAGGAGATGTTACATAGCTGGGCCGGTTTCCGTAGAAGAAGAAAGCAAAAGGCGTGGAAGATCGCCCCGTTAGCTCTCATGCGGATAGTTTGGGGGGAGAGAAATAGGAGAGCTTTTGAGGGGATTGAGTCTCCTTTTTCACATC